CAATATTATTTTGAACTCAAGAAAAGCATATTCTATATATCATTCTCGAGAAAATTATTCTAGATTATTATATGCTATGAAGCTAATAAAAATTATTCAATATTCCTATTGAATTAACAATCACTTGTTAATAACTTTCTTCCATTAGAATTACAAAATGAAGATAGATATTTGATTAAAAATTTTTGTCTAAGGAAATAATTTATAAATCAATAAAGAAAATAACATCAACTTTATCTCATTAAAGCTTTAGGGATTGTCTTTCTATGATTTCTCAAAATTAATTATTTCGAATATAAATAACAATATTCATATACTATTTTATTTTTTGTTAACAATTAATAATATTCTTTGTAATAAATATTTACCGATTTTTGTACTATTTAATCCTCCATAAGTTGCTTTAATAATATAAAAATCAGGTAATGGCATAGAACCAGCAAATAATGGTATTGACGTTAATAATGTTAAATCATCTTCATTTAATGTCCATGGTGGGATATTTTTCTCTTGAGATCCACCTAATAATTCTGCATTAACAAGAACATGATTACGTGCTAAACTTAATTGATCTAAAATAATATTTCCTCCTGATTCCATTTCAGCTTGTGCTTGTCTTAATTTTTCAATATAATTATATTTTATTTCAAGCATTAATTGAACATCTAAATCTGATTGCATTATTGATAATATTCTAAAATATATAATTAGATTTTTATTTTATTTTTTATTTTTTTTTTCTTTTTAAAATAAATTTCTACCTTAATCCAGCAGTATGTGTATGTTCATAGCAAAGAAGACTTCGAATACCAGTATCATCACTAACAAAAGAAATTCGTTCAAGTAAAGTCTAGAAAATAACATAGAAAAACAAAATGTTTATTTTATTTTTAACGAGAAAGAAAAACAAAACAAGCATATAATCATACGAGAAGTGTACGTGGTTTGGGATTTTTTTCGATATTATTTGGTGTTAATGATTCATTATTATCTGTTGATAATAATTCATAAGCAGCAGAAAATGAAGAAAAAAGTGAAAGAAGACTTAATAAAGGCTAAAAAAAAAAAAGAAGAAACAATTCATTTAAAAATCAATTATTCTTATTTTTTTTATTCGATTTTACTTTTAAAGCATATCGACTAATTGGTTCAGATGGAAAACGTCGAGGAAATACACTTGTTAAATCATCAGGTACATGTTCTAACTCCTTCCAAAGTCGATCAATTAAATATTCAACAAAACCTTGATTTATAAAATAAAATAAAAATGAAAGACAAAAAAAAAAGAATTTTTAGAACATACCTGAATGATCAAGACGCGCTACAACAGCTGGTGTATTAGCCATCTGTGATAGTAAATATCCAAAACCATATTGTTCTAATTTACCTACTTGAGCTTGTAAACGCCAACGTTCATCAATATAAATAACACATTCGGGTAGAAAACTAGTTTGTGTTAAAAGATACATGCCTATTCAAAAAGAAAATTAATATAACGTTTTACATTAGAGAATATTCAAATTAAATTCATTTTTTCTATAGTAAGAAAAATTTAGGAACAAATGATTTTCAGACTATGTTTTAGAAATCTTCTAATATTTATATGATGTTCTTATACAAGTAATTAGTTCGAAAAGTTTAACAATTGAATATGTTGGAAGAGTTATCTTTGAGATTAAATACGATCTGCGTCAGGGAAAGAGCTAAATTTCTCGTTGTAAACTGAAACAATTAGTATATTTCGTTAAGATCTACGTAGATTATCATTAGTATGTAGGCAAAATTATTCGTTAGTGAGGTAACTTCGCAAAATTAAAATACATGTATCTCGCGATAATGAACTTTCCTAGAATTAATTTTTATATATTACATGTATATTAAGTTATTCTAGGTATCCTGAAAAAGTCAGCGCTAGAGACCTTTATTCAGAGAAGTTATCAGTAAAAGAATTAACGTCCAAAAGGACATCAACTTTCACTTCATGCATTTTTAGTTTATAAAATAAAACTCCCAATTGAGGTAGCATTTTTGGTAAACTGCATAGTACATTCTGTAGGCAACCGTTGAAACTACAAAATTTCTATCCAAAGTTTTTTCTGAGCATGCCTAGAGTTTTCAAAAAACCGATTTTACTTTTCGCCCGTGACGTGATGGAGTACGAAAAAAACGCTCTTATAATCGAGTGGGTAGTTCAAAACCAAATCCAGATGGTAGAAATTCTTCTTCAGCATCTTTAGATGATGATAAGACAACATTTTCTGTTTTGAGACTTGATAGAATCTCCAGAAAAGCAGTTCTTTGGAGTTTGGTCATGCTGAAAATTTTACCATAGATGTAGTCCATGTCGTAGAGTCTATTCTGAAGTTTTCAGATTGCTTTCTCATATAGTTAGGAAGACATTCATTGATTACTTTTTAATTAATAGTCAGTTGAAAGAGTCAAAATTTTTACATATATCTATGCTAAAAGAACTTCTTCAGAAAAATAACCTCTGTCAAGAATTAAAGTCAAATGAAAGGTGGGTATGTCTTGTTTTGCCTGAAATAGCCCATATAATGAAATTCTATATAATAAAATTTGATCGTCAATAGATCAAATTTCGATTATTTATCATATTAGATTTCGAATTAATATCTTGTCTCGAAAATGAAATTTTTATATAAAAATTATAAAATTGTTTACCTTTTGGTGTTGCAGCAAATAATAATAAATTATCAAGTAATGTTTCTTTCCATGGCATAATATTACGACTCATTTGATCTTCGGATTCAGCTGATGGACTTCGATTTAATGATGGTGAACTATTTTTTTCCATCTATAGTCAATTATAAACACAAAACAACAACAAAAAAATATCAATTCTTTCTTATGCTTTTTTTTTTATGTTAATTAACCTCAATTCTAAATGCTTCAGCAAGTGATTTATGTAATTGTGTCCTTTTAATTACAAGTAAACCCGATGTACGAGAATAAATTAATCGACATACATAAATAAATTCCGATAATAATACTGTTGGCATAAATGAATATGATGTTGTTAATGATAAATCAGGTGTTATTAAACTTAATCTACTATTTGTATATTGAGATAATATACGTTTAACATAAGTAACAATTAATGATGCTGGTGATCCTCTGAAATAATTGAAATATTATTTTAAAATTTAAAAAAAAAAGAAAATAATATAAATTATTACATATTTGATGTTGTTGAAGCTCGTATAAGATATTGATAACCAATATCATTTGATGCCATAGCAGCAAGTAAATCAGCAAGACCAATAAGACCATATTCATGAACAATATTATTATTTGATCTTAAATAATCATTAAACATTTTTTTTGATCCAAGAAATTGTTTTATTGGTTTAACTAATGTATCAAATAAATCATCACTACACATTAATGGACCACATGTATCTGATTCAAGACAAAGTCTTTTAAATAATTGACAACATAAAGATGAAGCTATTTCTATATGAACAAAAAAAAAAAATAACAAAAAAAAGTCAAATTAATAATTTTTATATTAAAATTTTTCTTTTTTTTTTTTTGTTACTTCCACTATTTGCAACAAACATTATTTGAATAAATACTCGAAGTAGATCTTTAACATTAACTAATCAACAAAAGAAAAAAAAGATAAAATTATTAAATAAAACATATAATCTTTTGTTTTTCTTTGACATAAAATTTACTTTGTTTATCATTATTAATTATAATTGGAAAAACTATATGACGTGCTTGTTTTGAACAAACAACATGTTCAAATAAAGAAAGTGAATGAACAAAATGTACATTAGCAAGTTCAAGACGTGTATAATGTGATGAACTTGCTGGTACAGCTGGTGGTGGATGAATCGGTGGTATAACAGACATAGGTGGTGATATAAAATTTGAAAGAAACGATGGTGCTGATGGTGGTCCACTTGTTGTTGTTATCATTGATCGAATACTACCATCAGATGAAGCCGTACCTTAAAATAATATTTTTTTGATATTTTATTATCTTTCGACAAAAAAGAAAACTAGATAGATCAAATTTTACCAATAGGTCTTTTTCGAATGCCTGATGGATATAATGAATTATCATTGCCATCATTTCCCATATGCATTTGTTGTGAATGTGTATGAGCATAATTAACAATTGATTGATATGCATTTATTAACTAGATTTTGACAACGAAAATATTTTCTATGAATTAGAAATTTTTTTACAAAAAAATTAAATTTTACTTACTAAAGTTTTCTTATTTGTCAATGAACGTAATACATATGCTCGACTATAAGTTGCATGCTAATTATAGAAAAAAAAACAATATTAAATGTCAAGCTTTTATTTAGCACAGGTCTGAATAAAAGTCTTCCTCTCTCGATAGGGTGTTGGTAAAGGCACCATGTCCATACAAGATAAATGCATAGAAACAATTTTTTTTTTCGCAAATATAAAGGATCAACAGTTTGCTTTCACTGAAAAAATAAAATAAATTACAAACCATCCATGTACGAAACCAATTGGCTTCTGGATCAAGTAATGCTACAAAATGAAGTGGAAGTATTCGACCACCATTTGGTTCCGATGGTATTGAACCCAAAGAAAAAAGGCGTACAGTTTCATTAATTATATGTTCAACATGACTAAACGATTATATTTAAATTTAAAAAATAAACTATTCGATAAGAAGAAAACCTTTCTGAATATCTCATCCAATATTTTGTTGTTTCTTGAAGAAATTCCAGTATAAGACGAATCTAATTATATAAAAAAAAATCTTGCAAAAACAACTATGTCTTTTTTGTAAATTTACTTGTTTAAATTTCATTTCAACAATTGGATTTTGAATATCAAGTGAAATAGCTGTAGGTTGTAATTCAATAACATTCGATGAAGAAAACCAGTGTACTAAATGATCAACTAAAACCCAAAAAAAAAATTTTCCAATTTAAAAAAATATATATAATTTATTTACCAAGATTAGTAAGAGTTTCACAAACAACACTCATATTTGCTGCTGCTAATAAACGCGAATGTAATGTAAGACAAGCCATCTTAAAAATAATATTCTTATAAATTTTCAAAAAAAAAGAAAAATTCTATCAAAAATCTTACTGCTATTTCAAGATTCGTATCACCTAATGCAATAATTAAATTTGGACAAAGTATTTTCCAACTACCAATTGAAATAGCTTCATTTGGAGCATAATTTAATAGATCATTCAAAGCACGAAGACGAACCTTTAAAAAAAAACTCTTCACATAAAATATGATCTTTTCTTTTTTTCTATAAATTACTTTTTCTGGTCTTGTTGCTGATAAATTATCAGCAACTGTACGTAAATGATTATCATCAAAAAACATAAAACTTTTCTAAATAACAAAAAATAAAATAAAATTTCTTTTAAATATATCACGTTTTATTTCTTTCTTTCTCAACACATACATGACGTCCACTAGATCCATTTGTGTATGATGTTTCAGAATCACTTCCATAACTAATATTATATGATGATGAACCACCACCACCAGTAGCTGAATGACGATTTTCATTAATTTGACTTAATTCAACTGATGTTCCAATTATTGTTCGATTATCAGATATTAAGGTATCAGATGCAATACCAAGTGATGTTGAGGATGATAAACTTAATGGAAATTCTTCATTAAAATTTTCAACTAAATCACCAAGTGTTGAATGTAGACGTCGTAAAACATCAGTACGAAATGATGAAAATTCACGTGTTTCAGTTATTGTTTGACTTATAGTTGATGCACCTTCATGTTCTAATTTACTTTTATTTAATTGTTGTTTTTGTTTTTTTATTGATTTTTTTGATGACATTGAACGTTCTATTTCTTTATCAATCATATCACCAAATGCATCATCAACAATATAATGTAAACGTCTTAATAAATCTGAACTAAAAATAAATTTAATAAAAGAACCAAAAAAAAACACAATAATAAATAAATGAATATTTTAAAACTAACTTATGAGCAATATCATTAGCTGTTGATGATAATGAATGAATAAGTTGATCATCAGTAAATGTTATATTTGTTGATCCACGTCGTGCAGCTTTTAATAACACAGGATCAAGTGATTTTAAAAATGATTTCATTAAACTACGTAATTCATCATCAGAAACTTTTTCTAAAATATTTTTAGCTGTTGTCATTGTTGTGGAATCTAAAACCATTCCCTTTCTTTTGTTTTCTTTACTTATTTAATATTGGTTGTATATTAATCACATATGCGCATCTATTTATAAATAGGAACCATTCTTGATGTTGTTACTTTGACAACAAAGAATGTAGCTCGTTCAATTTTTTTCTTTCATCATCTATCGTCTTTATCATTGATTGGTTAAAATTTGTATTATCGATATAAATGAATGTGTGAACGAGAAAATATTTTACTATAATATATGAGTAGCCGAAATTCTATTTTGTATGTAAGATTTAGTGTTTAAGAATTGAAACAATCATTGAATAGACTGTAAACTTCTTATGATTGTCATCATTTATAACAGCACAATCACGTTCAAGACAAAAAAAA